CACCAGGAAGCACCGGGCAGGATTTAGTGGCTGGTGCTGGTCTCAGCGTGTCTGCCATGAAGGTGATGGACCGCAAGAGACACAAGACAGCTTGCTGTTCTCCGTTTCATCCCATTTTCATAATCATAAGGCGTCCTAGAGCTACAGCTGTGCCAATATTATGTAGGCCACATTGGGAGAAAACATGATTAAATTACAGAGGAAGTGCCCAGGTCTGGGCTCTGCACGGCACTGAATGAGCATCTAAAAGGGAGACTTGAGAATCATGGAAATTGGATCAAATTTAGAAAAATGGACCCAATTCTATTTCCCTCCACCATTCCAACAATCCCTTGTCTGAGCTTCACGGGTAATAAAAAAGGGAAAAACACACACGCTTTGCAACAGTACACCACTTTAAAGACCGCATGCAAACAAAATGAAAGTTTTGTAGCTTTTAATCTATGTGTGTGTTCGCTTTGAGGCCATCTTTATGCTTTTATACTCCTAAACGCTGATGAAATTCACTTTTACACCACTAGTCAAAACTGCTCAAGTCTGATTGCATTCTCAAATCTGATTTTTCTGTGAATTTTTAATTTAAACATTTGAAATGAGTTCGTTTAAATATTTATTTATCCTATTTACTTACTTTTTTTTAAACTTTAATCTAATTTCATTTAAAATATTTTAATTATTGTACAACCTTTGTCTTCTGGGAATATTGGTGACTTATCCTGCACTACACAGATTTCTGTCCAATCACATGCTTTCTAGAATGAGAATACCACTCGCAACCGAGTAGCAAGATAGCAGTATCTGCATTAGTGTTAATGTGTCACTTTGATTTGTGTCCAATTTAGACTTTAAATCTGACATATTGAGCCTTGTTGCTCGTGTTGGCGACACAAGGTTTTCAATCACACAATTTTCTATCTACATATAATAATAATAAATAAATGTGCCCATTTCTTAATTAAAACTCTCAGTGTTGACATGTGTTGTTGTTTCTACACAGATGACTTTATCAGTGAGGTGAAGACTGTGAGCTTGTTCTTCAAACCAACACAATAGTCTAATTTGCAACACTTGCACATGAATATTTGATCACATATGACCTGGTGATCACACCTGCCTGTTTATCACTCTTCATCAGATGCTAAATTCCCTCTGATAAGCTTGTGTCACTGTTTAGATAATGGAATAGTTCAGAAATATGTTGTGTGGGATCTTTAATGCTGTTTATTTTCCTGTATTCAATATTTCCATTTTCTCAATTTATGTACAAGCATGCGTTTGGCTGCTTTTATTACAAAGCAACATCTTGGCTTAAACAGGAAGATATTTAACTAAGGTCACATCATCAATATTGTACAACCACACTAAACATTATGATGAAAGAAAGCATGCATATTTTTGGACTTATACTGATATAATTTGGACTGTCAGCTAGGTCGCCATACTTTTTATGTATGTGGATATCAACATGCATGTTGCCTAATAGCCCATGTTAACCGTGCTGGGCGTCTCCCACATAGCTTGAAAACTGGCATGATTAAATTCAGCAAACAGCAAAGCTGCCAGGTCTTTCTGACTAAACTGACTCAATAGTCAATAATTAAATGCTTCTGAAAGTCTTGGACCAAAACATGTTGTGTTTTTTCACACACATATTTCCATGGCTATGTTCACACAGCAAATCAGAAGTACTCAATTTGGATTTTATGCTCAAATCTGTGTGTGTGTGGGGGGGGTGGAAAATATCCATACTAGGTAATGGTAGTCACTGCATGGCGTTCCATTCTGTGCCTGGTTTATAATGCACTTCAAACCATTTTCATCAGAATGCACTGTAAGAAACACACAATCTGATCGAACACACAAACAGAGGCGTGGGGATGTGTTTGGCCTTTCCAAAAGACGGCTGCAAGATTTTCAATAGAGTGCTAAATTGGAACTTTAGCGGGTTTTGCAGCCATCAGGACATTGATTTGGCACAGCTGGACCGAGATGGTAGGCCTGCGTGCTGGAAGCAGGTGAGATGCAAGAACACGTACAGTAAGTAGAAAAATGGATATCAATGCAAGGTTTAATACTGCAGAAGCAGTGCTGCTTTGGTAATTAAAGAAAATGGCAAGCATGCTTCCATTAACGTAGAATGGTCCGAGTTAGTAGTCATGTGGAGAATGGTCGAAAAGGTCTATTAAATCCATGAATCTATGAACCTGTCAGTCATTATTTTCTATAGGTTGTCATTTGAGTGAGTTCAATACACCCACAACCTGTTTGTACAAAATGTAATTCTTGCTGTGATTTAAACATTGCTTTCTGAGCATCTTACGATGTATTTAGTAAATTATAGAGTTAAATTCCACATCTTGGTCAGATCTCATCTCAGTGTAAGATAACTAAAAGGATGTACCGGATAAGATAAGGTAACATACAGTCGACAGCTTAGGTGTGTATCTCGACCCAAGGCTGTTGGCTCAGATTGACTACAGCACATTTCACAACACTGGGGTCACATTACAATAACATCACTCCTGACTATGATGAGTCCCATGATGATATCAGAAGAATAACATCATGCCTGACAAAACATGACAGTGGGACAATTCTGTTATCCCTCAGGCGCACTGTAAAATAAAGTGTCGTATACCCCCCCCCTTTTTTTTAAAGCAGTGTTATTTTTGTATTATTTAAATACTACATATTTTATTCGCATTTTGGATCAGCTTTCATTTTTATATTTTTTGTTTTAATATTAATTTTATTTTATTTTATTTTAATGTTTTCTAGAAATTTTGTCATGTGATTTTGTCATTTTTATTAGTTTTTGTTTGTTATATTATTACCTAAAAATATTACCATTTAGGTTGAATTAATTTTTTGTTTAATTTTATTTATTTGTTTAATTTTTATTTATTTCCAGTTAGTAATTGTAACTTATTTCAGTCAGGTAACAAGGCAACATTTCTCATTTTTGTTCAGTTTAAGGTTTTAATGTTTATATTTGATTTCAGCTTCATTTCAATTAACAAAAATGTTTTAATAATTTTAGTTAACAATAATAATTCTGTAAAGTCTGATATATCTATATGTCTAAAATTATTCTATATATAAAATTATTTTAAATTTTGTCTTTTTAAAATTACATTTCTTTATTACTATTACTATTATTTTATTTTAACTATAACGCATGCAGTCTTTGTGATTTAAAATATTTGTACATTTAAAATTCATTTGTCACATTGCATGGCTATTTAAGTTTTAAAAAATCAAGAAGCTGAAGGAAAAAAAAAACTAATTTAAATGGTTACAGCAACTAAAATTACTCTGCATATACTCTTACTTATATATTCATTTACATTTTTACCTACATTTTTAATCTTGAGGACACGATGTGTTGGGAATCATTTCTCATACACTTCATTCTGCTAAAAGGAATGTTACTTGTTTTATGGCAGCTGGGACTTGGTGTCAAGAACCGTCTGGCTGTTGTGTGCCAAGAACCGAATGATAAATGTTTGAGATTTGGTGATCAGGTGACAGTTTTCTTATTTCCCCTTTGCTCAGAGGGATCCTGGAATCTAATTCCAACATGGCAGCCTCAGAAGCAAAACTAGACCCAAGTGTTTGGGGAAATGTCATTTTTAATTAAAACCCAGGTTCTTTAAGATAAGCTTTAATTTCACCTGGGGCATCAAGCACGGAGCCAAAATACCATTATGTAAGTCTGTCACAGTCAATGATATCTAACCGCCTGCTACAGCGGTTTTGACTGACTTGTTGAATGTTAATAGCATGCATAATCACTTTAATTATGCTAGGTGATTCTCTCTACATTTATGTTCATACAATAATTTAATGACGACAGTGATAACAACTAAAACTAAATAATAATAGTATTGACAATTTTTTTTTTTATATGAAGGTGGATTATAAAACTGTCTCTCATGTTATGTATTTAATACATGTTGGTTATCCATGTCTCTGTCAGATTACCCCCCCCCCCCAATAATAATTATTATAATTTGAC